GATTCAATAATTTCCAAATTATGAAATGTAATTATTAATTTCATAATATAAACATGTTATTGGGAAATTATTATTTGATTCATAACTTAATAACTTAATAATCACTATTCTTGAAAAAGGAAGCAGCTTCGAAATATTTATGCTTTTAGAAAACTGTAAGAAACATTTAAAAACTCAAAATTTTAAACTTTAATTATCATATGAATCACTGTTAATTAATACGAATAAAATTAGAGTTCGGGTAATTATTTTAATGAGTTATAGTAAGGGTAATTATCACTCGAACTGAAATATAGTCCAGTTAATAATCATGCGAAATAAGTTGTTATATGGTTGAATATTGAATGAATTAATTGGAGTATAGTTAATTATTTAACGAATATATTATAGTACGATTAAATATCGTGCAAATGAATTGAAGTACAGTTAATTACAGCGAAAATTAAATTATAATACGGTTATTTATGGCATGAATTAAATTGAAGTACGAATAATTATCACATGAATAAAGTTATAGTACTGTTAATTCTCACCCGTATTAAATTGCAATACAGTTTTTTTTTCCATCACCAAATTTAAATTACACTATGGTTAATAACTACAGGAAATAAAATTTTGTTGATATTCTAGCTATACACATGAAAATTACTTTTTAATTTTAGAATTGTTTTTTAGAGAAATATTGAAAATATATGGAAATATTAATGAAAACAGTTTCTTAATTATACATAATCCGGTATATACTTTAAGCAAAAATGTATCTAATTATTTTAATCTAATATGATTTAGAACAAATGACACATGAAAATTTTTTAATGTATAAAGTGCCGGAATGTTTTTAAAATCCTGCAAAAAAAAAAATTCTGTACATAAGTACTAATGTAAAAACTTTTTTTTTCTTTCGCCAAAAGTACAAACATTTGTTTATATTTTAATTTTGTACTTTCGTTATTTTAATTCTCTACTTTGCAATTATTTATTTAAAAATTGACAGCGAGACACTAAATTTTGCCATTTTCTGAAGTATCATGCCAAAATTACCAAATTTTACCACATTGACTACCAAACATAGTAATAAATGGGGATATAATAAAACCATATTGTATTGTTAATTTTACAAAAAGCCATTGCCAAATCGCTTCGGTAAAATTATCGTGCTTTGTGGTGTTTCCCCCATAGAGCCAGAAACATGCCTAATTTAACCATATTATGGTAATTTTAATCAAATTTTTGTACTCAGTGTACCACGAAAAAAAATCAGACTTTAAATAAAAAATGCAATTTTTTTTCCATTACAATCTTAATGTTAATTTATCGCTTTATACTGTCATGTTTTAAGATAGTTGAAGCAAATAAAAAAAGGAAGGCAATCGTTATGTGAATAATAGTAATTATCTCATATAGAAAATATATAGAAATAAATGAATAAAATTGCTCAATAGTCAAAATATACCTTTCTTCTTTGAATTGCCTTTAAAGATTTTATTTGCATTTCTAATAAAGGATTTCGAAACTTCAGACCTTGGAAGAAATTTGAAAGCTCTTTGTTCAATTTCAAAAGTAGCGCATCTTACAATTAGCTTCAAGGCTTCTATTTTTTTATACATCCTTTTATCTCTATTTTACGGACATGTTTCAATTATTCGATTTTAATCTTATTATTTTTTCATAAAACTGAGAAGTTACGAACAAATTTTACATTATCTAATTACCGTAGAAGTGGCTATTTCATTGAGAAAAAGTATGGTAGAAAGTACCTGAGTACGGTAACATTTATCGCGGCTCTGGCTCAATGGGAACACAAGGAAGCTCGGTAATTTTTATCGAGAACTTTCGTAATAATTTGGGTAAATTTAACAAAAAATATGGTTTTATAATATGTGATAAAATTTGGTAAATATGGTAAAATTTGGTAGTTTTATTGGACAGAGTTCGAGTCCCAGCGTATCTTCTGTGTCCAGTTCGATTCCTTTTACGGTTTTAAACCATGCTACTTGTAAATGGTAAAAAACCATGTAGTTTTGTACTTATGGTTTTATAACCATACTAGTTGTAAGCGTTTTCAGAACCATAAAGGTAAAAAATGTTCCTTACCGTCAACTTTACGGTAAATTGGATAAACAGACTGCTAACAGTCATTTTATCATAATTTAGGAACGAAAGTTAATTATTTGAGTATAGTAGATTTTTTTTCCAGACCTAATAAAAGGACATTACTCTAAAAATATATCCTACAATATGCAAAATTCTTTAAAATAAGAATCCCTAATTTTTTATTCGACATTAAAAAATATACAGAAAAAATAAATTAAGTTTAATTAGTTGAGATTTTCCTTCAAAAAAGAATTATTGAGTTTATGGGTTTACTTTTTTCTGAGAGCAAAGACTAAGAAAAAATAAAATGTGATCAAGACTACCGGAATATGATATAATTTACCGCATTTCTAGCTCTATGAGAATACCAAAAAGCTAGGTAATTCTAACAGAAGCGCTTTGGTAATGATTTTGATAAAATTCACAATGAAATATCGGTTTATAATATGTGATAAAATTTGGTTAATTTGGTAAAATTTAGTAATTAAGTCATGATACCTTAGAGCTCGGCATGAAAACCACTAATTCGACTTCATTTACTTTTCAGCTTTCTGTTTTCTACTAAGTGTGCGTCAATTAGAATTGGAATTTTGAAAACCAAAATTTTCGATAAACCGTTACCAAAGGAACGGAAAAATGACTAAATGGAATTTTTTTTGTTGAGGGTTGGGGATAGCCTGGTTGGTAGGGCATTGGGCCCATGTTCAAGTCAACAGGTCGTCGGTTCAATCCCTGCCGGCCAAAGACTCCCCGTGTAGTAAATAATTACTGGTGCGCGTTAAATTTGTCGGGTCACAAAATCCCCCATGTTCCTATAACAAATCATACCTCTGGGGGTACTAATCCAGGAGTTTCCTTGTCTTCTGAATTGAGTTCAAAATTACAAGGCTACGAAGTTGTACACTAGTAGCCATAAACCCGAAATCGGATCGGTTGTCCTACGACGGCTATAAAATAAAATAAAATTTTGTTTCATTAATATATTTTGGTTTTATTAACCAGGCATAGGATTTTTTTCTTAACCAAAATTGTTATAACCGTAGAGTACGGAAATTTTACCAGATTACTCCCTCTTACAAACTAAACTAAAAATTGAATGCTAACTAAATTACTAATTACAAAATAACTACATTGACTTTAACTAAAAAAAAATGAATTTTGTGCTGCTATTCATTATGTTAAGAAATACAAAGCTTTGAGTTGTATTTACTAATATAATCAATAACCAATTGCAATAATGTATCATTAAGGAACTTCCTCCAAACTTTTTCTCTTTATACTTTCAATTAAGATATTATAATGTAGCGCATCAATCTTAATTTTTTAAATAATTCTATCCATCTCAAAAAGATTTTTTCTATCAAATTTCGTGAAAAAAAAAATTCTCTTTTATTTTAATTCTGCGTTTTAATTTAAGCATAAATTCGAATTTTACTGACAAAACACATCTTGTAAGTAAAGCTGAATTCCAGCCTAAAGAAAGATATTTTACTCAAAACCAGTATCACATAATAGAGCTTTTACTCTTCAACTATTTCGAGAGAAAAAAAAAATTGAAATATTTTTTTTTCCATTCTGAAATCGAAATGTGGTTAGTAGTCAGAGCGTATCGCACACGTAATCCTGGGATTTTCACAATCATCTTTGTCAAGAAAAGATTTCAGCAGTTCCGACAGGCGAAAAATTGGCGACGCCTGAAAATCCTGATCGCAATCCTGATAGCTTTCACACCATAATCTCCATGTCCACATCCCAATACGCTGTCACACCCTTCTTTTTAGAACCTTTTTTTTTTTCATTATAGGGGTTAGTGTCGCTTTCTGGCTACTCTTTATCTTTGGATAGCAAGATATGAAAAAAATATAGATTCTTTTATTCCTGTATTTTCCCGAATTAACGCTTGGATGGAACGCTTTTCTGGTTGGTTGATCGAATGTTTTGACTCTATATTCGCTGAATTAGGTTTTCCAATTTCGGGTTCAGATTACTTATATTTGCGTGCGATTAGGTAGAAACATTGAGCACCATTTAATAATAAGATTTTAAAGAATCGAAGAGTTTAAATATCCAGTATTTAAACTTAAAAATCATTATTATGAATGTAAATTTTAATAAAACTGTTTATGTCATGTAAACTTTCATTCTGCCTTTCAAACATGTTCATACATAAATGTCATTTATGAATAGTACTGCTACTTTATTACTTACTTAGTATATTGCTTTTTGTCTAAGTATCTATAAAACGAAAAATATATATACAATGATAGATGTCTCAAAATGGCTGTGGCCTGAATATTTTGTTTATAAATGTTATTTTAAACCTTGGCTAAAGTAAAAATAAAGAATAATGCATCATTAAAAATTAATTAAAATTTATTAAATTATTTATTTTTTACTCGTCTGTTAGACTGTTATTCGAAATTATAACAGTCCAAACTTTAAAAAAAATAATAAAATGAAAAATGTTTTAAGTAAGATTTAAATTTTGAAGTGTGCATTCATAAAGTAATTATGCATTTAGAAATTAATTGCAATATTTTTATCATATTAAAAGAAATTTTTGTGATCGATATTTATAGCACTTTTAGTTCATTACTTTTGTACCTGCATTATAAAATTTTATGAAATTGGCTATCATACTCCGTGAATATTTTCAATATAAGGGCTGTCACCTTTTTCAATAACCACGCAACAAAAGACATGATGAATAAATACATTCATCTAATAAAAAAAAACAGAACTGAAAGTATAATCATTTTTCAGTTGTATCAATCCGAACAATATGATACATAGTTCTAATAAAATTAATTTAAAAATGAGTTGTTTAAAATGATGATCATGTATGTTATGTTACTATGCCATGTGATTTAGGAAATCTAAAGTGATTTTTCTTATTCTGTTTGTAGTTGGAAACGACAGTCGAGATTTAAATGGTGATATACACGATGAAGAATCCAAAAGACAAAGATCGCAATACAACGGAGACCAACTATATACAACGGTGAGCATACATTTCACATAACGTATCATGTTATTGATGCATTTTTATTTGCATTGCTAAAAAAACCGTATATAAAGTTTATCTTATCAATTGATAAAATAATATAAACTCATACGGTTTTTCTTCATTTATGTTTTATCAAGAAACTTGTTCCTTTTATACCAGAGATCATGTGGTCTAGTTGTCTATAGATAAGGGGGAAAAAGATCATAGTTTCTTTTATTTTGAAAAATAACTCTGATGTTCTCGACAAATCTAATCTATTTACTGCTAAATATTTAGCCCTTTTACCTACACCTATAGGAAAATGAGGTCTAAGTTCCTGCAGCGAAGGAGCATTTACTTCTTCATCATGAGGTGAAAAAAATGAAGTGAAAATGATGAGGAAAAGAACAGTACTAAGTTGCAAATATAATTGGAAACGGCCAATCATATTAAATTTATCCCTTTTGTTACAACGTTCTTCTTTTAGCAGTCACAGTAACAATGTTACAAAAACTTGACCTTTGCCAGCCAAAGTGATTAGTGATTAAATTAATGCTCCTATGCAAGTTTCCGAAATTTATCCCCGGGAGGACTTTTAACCATATTAGTCTTGATGTATGTTTTTTTACTATATACTTTTATAAACACTGGCTCTTTAAATTTACTCTAGAATTGAACTTATTGGCTTTCAAATGTTCGACAATGATAGAAAATGCTTTAGATAGCTTCTCTTTAGAAAGTTTTATATCCTATAATAAAGTTCCTGAAGCTTTAAAAAAAATTTCAAATCTGATTTTGGACTTTTCCCAGTAATAATTCAATTGGATTCCTATGGAAGTAGGTAATAATTAATGTAACGTATTTTTTGGTGGAGCCAAGAGATTGATCAATAATTTTTTTTATTACCATAGTCTAATACCAAAAAGAAAGAAAAAGTAGAGAGATATAAATAATTTTCTAAAATTGCTGGTGTTCTAAATCGTGTTGTAAGTTGCATCCAATATCAGCAGTTACGTTTTATATTGTTGTATAACGATGCGGATTCTATTTAACAGTAAAGTAAAGCACTCCAACAAAAGTCAGTTGCCGCCCAGAGATGTGAAACTCAGGGATACACAATTTTGAGAGCTGCAGGATGATAGCGACAAAGTAGTTAAACCCGTCCGCCTTTTCTTCCCAGACTAGCTAGTACCCTTGACACTGAAACGAAAGATTTTACAATTTCGAGGCCATTTGGCTTGATGGTGGCAATGCGGTCATTAATGTTCTCCAGCTGTCTTTACTTCCAAGGTAATCTAGCATCCATCATCGATCTGAAGCTGTGAAATTAGACAGTCTTCAAGCTCTGAAGTTGGGTAGGCTTCAAGACTCCACAGGGATTGAATCCGAGTCCTTCATAATGAAAACTCAATGCTTTTACCATTGTAATATCACAACTATGCAGAATTTCAGCATTTATTGTAATTATCCATACTTACTGTTACACTTATCAGACGTTATCTTATATTGTTTTTTTTCTCTTCTCTATATTTCAGCAAATGTGGCCGAAATGGCCAAAACAAGACGAACTGAAAGCAGGGGCTATGGTACCGGACCTTACAGCAGCAGCTGTTGCTGGTGGTGCTCCTTATACCTTGCAACAGTTCCCAACCACACCCGAACAAGCTTTCACGCCAGTCGTCACTACCACATCTTCCAACGAACACATAAAAGCCGAAATCTCACCTTACGACGCAGCCATGAGTGCGATGACGTCACAAGTGCAATCCTCGGCAGTATATTCCCCACCTTTAGGTAAGTTCTTCACATAACTTTTTTTTAGTTACCTTTTTTTTACAGTTTACACACGTGAAGTCGCATTTTCGCAGTAACCCTCTCATGATCCTCATGGTAAAATGACTAAAATATATCTTTTAATCCTATAGATATTCTTCATAATATAAGTGATGCTATATCTTACGTTGAACTGCTATATACTGTTCTTGAATATTTTTAATTTAAATGAAGAATTGACTAGGAATTGAAATATTCATGTGAGTCACGCATAAATATTTCTAAGCCTATTTTGCACGATTGCAAATACACCTAAGAACACTAAACTTCATCCAGTCTTAACCACACTGTGACTCATTTTATAGGAAAATTGTGACTCCATATTTTGTTTTGTGTCATCATCACAATCCTATTCTATGATGTAGTTGAAGCTGTATTTCAGCCTGTTTTATCCTTATAAGACTTCTTTTTTTAAAAAACTGCACCTTAGAAATTTATGCTGCACGTGAACACGATTTTTAATACACAGTAATATTTGTACCCCCAGTTCTGATCCTAGTCTGTGAGGTTGGAAGATGAATTTCTGTAGTTCTGGTCTCTCTGGTGCAAATATATTCTACTGTACACCATCCGATCTCTATTATGCTGGAACTTAATTTAAATCACAGACGAGTTCCAAAAGTCAAACAATATGTTTGGTATTTTTTCTCAACAATCGGTTGCCCAGCAGCTCACTTTCACGTCAAATAAGTTTGCCATTACCCGACTGGTTAATTTAGTCGACTGCTAATTTGTTTGACAGTTTTGTTCAATACATGTGCTTAACTTTTAATGCTACCCATTATTAACTATAATTCTAGAAAGTCCCAAGTCCTTTATTAAGCGGAGGAAAAAGTTCACAACATAGACAATTACTACACAAACAGTCATTATATATCGCTTGCACTTTCTTGCCTTAAGTATCCAGCCTTATTTGAAAAGTTAAACAGTTGTTAACAAAGAATATTACACTCATTTCTCGTACTTGCCCGCCCTGTCAAGCAAATGTATCCATTAAAAAAATTTATTATCTGGCAAATGACTGGTTCATATAATATATATAGGCTAAGTAATAGCTAAGTATGCTGAAATCTAATAATCATACATATGGAGCTCAATTAACGTATGTTATGGATACATTATATAGTCAATGTTACATATGTCATGGATGGTCAACTGATAGTAAACAATCAGTTTTTTAACGCCGAAATAGACCTTTAAAAACTTTCAGTGTATGTCCTCGCTGATGTTGCACCAACGAAGTGAAGTGTGAACAGGCTCGGCACTCTATTATAGAAAATTGTATTTTTAATATTAGGAACTAAGTTTTAATCCAGGATTATCATTCATAAGATTATCCAATATTTTTTTTATAAGATCTCAGAACTTAAACTGAATTAAAATATTAGAAATATTTATATTATATTTTATTGCATACATTGTCCCAATATTCGAAAATTATATTTCTTGACATGCTCGTGGCATGCAATACAAGACTATATACACATATTGCATATTAACCCAGAAATGTGAGAAATTTGTGTCGGCAAAACTGCTTTTCTAAATTTCAGAAAAGTTTTACGATCCTCTTAGTTTTGCTTCCTATTTCGCCCTAAAAAATAAAACGAGAAAATAGACATCTCACGTAGTTTCGAATTGAAATCCCTGATCCCCCAGTCCTACTTTGTTGCATACTTCGTCATGCAAGAAAACACCAATTTTTTACTCGACTGAATACTTTAAAACGCGCTGTTTCTCTATTTCTTTCAGTAGAACATTTTTTCCCTTAAGAAATATACTTTTCGAATGTTTAGAGTCTGTTTCCGATGTTTTTAAAATAATCTGAATGGCAAATCATTTCTTGACACAGTTTTTGATTGATTTAAATTAAAACCAATAAATGATTTTGTAAGTGTTTATTTATTTTTTAAAAAATCTAAAACAGTATTTTGAGTATGAAAGCAGTTTAAATTCACTTTAGAACACTTCATTTTTTATTTCACATTTGGAAAATGCGTTGATTTGGCGTGTATTTTCTGGCAGTGCAGAGAGATTTGGCGCGGCAGAGATTCCCAATTTTTTAAGACAACGGAAACCTAAATAATCGAGTTACTTTGTCGGAACCTTTAGTTAATAAATCAAATTTATTAGCAGCTATGAACATACTAATCAAAGAAGCTACTTATTATTTTGACAAGATTCAATATGATGAATAAATAGTTTTCAATAATTGTTTTATCAATAAAACTCTTAAAATAATATGTTTGATGTCAAACAGTTGAATTCGCTGGCTGGAGTGAGGAGTGGTATCTAGTCTAGTTCTGAATTTGTTTTTGATGTGTGCATTTAATGAAAATGAAAGAAAAAGTAATATACTAAAGTAAAAATTAACGGAATTACAGTTTTTGATAAGAACTCTTATAATTATTGAGAATGGTTATCAGTGAAGCATAATTCACTATTTTTGAATTTGGTCATTTTATTTTGGATTGAAAAGTTTGAGAAATACGAATGCAAGTTTTTATAAATTTTGCTATATCTGTATTTTTTTTATTGGCATTTTACTTAATTTTATGAAAACTGACCAAAATATCAAATAAATTATGGTTTATTGTTTAGGTATAAATGTAATTACAGGTTTCCAAAATCATTATTTCTGATTTAAAAAATTAAACTCTTGGAACTCCTGTGAGGAACTTTCACAGGAACTCTAGGGTTCCGCGGAATACAATTCGGGAACCGTTGTTCGAAGAACTTACGTTTAGCTTTGATGCTAATGTAAATTGGAATGATCTGCCCCGTCTATTACTAAGATTAAAACAAAGTGTAATGTTTAGGTATTGAAAATAAAAATCTTACTATCTTGACTAACAATGTATACTCCATTACTTTTTTTTTTAAACAGCAGTTTTTCAGTTTCTTGAAACCTAAGCATTTTCCACTAAGAATTTCAGTCGTATTCATGCAGCAAGAATTAGATTGAAGTATTCAGATCAGTGATTTGAATTATTAAGTTGATTACTGAATCAAATCATATAAGTAAATTTATTCGAATGATTTTATACCCCTAAGAGAATTGATTCCTACGATTCGAATTACTTAAGTGAACTGATTCGTTCAATTCGAATAAAAGAACTAATTTAATACAGGAACTAATTCACTCGATTAGAATCATTTAAAAGGGAACTGATTCATTTGATTCAAATCGCCTGAGTTAACTGCTTCATTTGATTCGAATCATTTAAGTTAAGTTGATTCGTTTGATTCGACTTATACGAATGAACTGATTCCTCTTATTCGATTTACTTCAATGATTTATTTCCGACACCCATTTTTAATAAACATTTTTATTGAGTAAGTTGCAATTTCGTTATTTAATATTCTATGCAACTTTTCTTTTTAAAAATCCAATATGTTTTCTTTCTTTTTTTTCATTAGTAAGAAGTAGGCGAATTATTAAATTGCGTGTAAATTTCGAAAACCACTTTATTTCAAATCAAAACTCTTGAAATGATGCCTCTTATCTGGCACGCTTTTCCAGAATCGGCCTTTGGGATGTCCCAAACATCGACAGGAGGCGACCTAACCAACCATCAAATTCGAACAAGAAGCTTGTTCCATGGATCAGTCGTTCCGACGGCTCAATCTTGGTGGAACATCTTTAGCGCCGAGGCCCCCCATCAGGGAGATAGGGAGCGTGATGACAGATGTTGCAAGTCCGAATGCAACGCGGCAATGCCCCGATAAAGATAGCAAATCTTACAGATCACTTCACATCTGTAGCCAGTTTTATATAAATCGAATGTTTTCGTCACCTACCAGTCCCCCTTTCTATTCTATCCTGTTTCAAAATGTGGGCTTTTGTTCGGGTTTAATGGAATCTAGGGATTACAGTTCCAAACCCGTAATCCAGAATCATTTGATTTACTTTTTTTTGTTGCATATTCTCGTGCATTGTTCATGGGATGCTAAGCGAGTTAAGTTATTTTCAGCATATTTTAGCTTAACAAATTTAATTAAATAATTAATTTTCTAGCTATATTAAATAAAATTACATTTCTTGCAAACCTTAAAGATTTTCTTACAAAAATAATGAAATTAAATAATTATATCAGAATTAATTTATTGCAACAATGTGTTTTAAATTTAGAAGTGCAAAAAGTTGTTCTTATCCTGCATATTTCGCGCTTGTTTATTTTAATTTGTTTTATACCGGAGTTTGAACAGCTGACCCAATTCTTAGTTTACAACTACCAATATTCAATTCTGCAGTCTTGCAATTTTGAACCCAATCCAGAAGACAAGAAAAATCCTGCACAAGCGTTGGGATAAATTAACATTCGTAGACCCGCATTTGCGTTACATGGGGAGGAAAACCTCCCCTGGTTAGCTCGACGGCAAGGGAATTCCAACCCATGATCCGTCTACCACTAATGATATTTTACGTCAGCACTATGATCGGTGCGATCCGGTGCGGAATTCAGGTCTACCATCCATCGCTGGGATTCGAACTCGTTTCACCTAATTGGGAGGCAAGTGCTCTATCCCCTAAACCACCACGACTTCGCATTTTTTAAATGTAATAATTTGATTGGTGTAATTTTTTGTGCACACATTTGTAACTATTTTTCCATCTTCTGATCAAAATTGGGATCTTTCAAGCTAATTACATTACCTTTAACAATTCTCATATTTCTGCAGTGAGACTTAGAAACATGTTCTTCCTTATGAGTGTAATTGGATAATACGGTATAATGATAATAAATAGAAATATTTATTTTCAAAATAACATTTTTTCATTAGTTTAATTCCTTAAATCCTAATTTAAATAACTTCTGTGAGAAAAATAGTCGATTTTAGAATCAAATAATCAGATATATAAATAATAATAAAATACATAAATAATAATAAAATAAAATAATATCTGAACTAATCAGGGTTGTGTTACATTCTGATCAACAGAAACTTTTCATGACAAAATGAAAATTAAACTACACTTTGCCTAACTCAAATTTTAACAAGTGAAAATTTCAATTCTCGAGATAAAAATGCAAAATTTTCATTGAAAAATTATGTCCCAAAATTTGGTTACGCAAAAGGTTTACGTGAAAAATTATCTACTGAACTTTAGAAACTTCACTTTCATGTTATTTCTTAAAATTTGCATTTTTAAGATTTTCAAGTAAAAAAATATCTCACAATTGTCCATTTAAATTTTTTCGACAGTACTCCTATACGTTTTGCTTTTTAGAAACCTGTTTAAAAAAGAGTGTTATAACATTTTATTAAGATATTAATTTAAATTATGTTTAAAGTTATTAATTGCAAGTCTTTTTTTTTAAGTAACATTTCTCAGGTATATTCTAATTATGGAAACTGTATAAAAACGACAAAATTTAAAATTTTTTAGAAACAAAACACTTTTTTAAAAAAACAAAAATGTCTATCACACCCTGTGTAACAGGCTTTAGCCAAGCGTAAAATTTCCGTATAAATGCTACATTTCCAGGGATCGTGTTCCCATTTCATCGTTTAAAATAGCTTGTCTTCGAAATTTACGATAAAGAAAATTATATACATATATGTCAAGTTTTTATTTTTATTTTTTTATATTTTTCTTCGTAGAAGTACGATAATCCAACTTCAGATTGAAGACCGGAAAACATTGCTTTTTTCAATTCATACGCTTCGTTGATTTACATACGCTGCAGATAACAATGACTTATTTGAGGTAAAACGTCAAATTATAAAGAAGAGTAATTCATCATCAATTTTTATGGCGCGACAATTTCTTAAGCATGGTTTTTAACAAGTGAATGAGTTAAATTTATTCCTTTTGTTAAACTACATGAAGAGAATGAATTAATAGAGCTCTTTTTGATAAATTGTACGAATTAATGAAGCATTATCAATTGTTACGTCTGTTTGTTTCCAGTACGATTCATTAAGAATTTATTGAATTAAGCTAATTATTGCGACATTCAAATTACTTCACGGAAATTATACATTTGTAATAGTAAGATTTAGGCATTTATTCCATTTATTTTATTTTAATTTATTTCTTTGATTTATTTATTTAGTTGCAATAAAATTTAAAAATAATTATATAATATCAGCAAATGTTTCACTTAATAAGTTAGAAATATGAATAATAATTATTCATTTAGTCATGGAAAAAAATTTATAATCTTATATTTATAAAAATTTATAAAAAATTTATAAGGTTAAATTTATAATCATTTATTTTAAATCCCATTTTAGCTGAAGTTTTTATGTAATAGATATTTTCAGATTTAATTTTCATATTTATCTATTATATTAATTTTATGAAGAATAAATGTAAATATATTAAAATTTATGATATAAATTTTCATCAAATCGTATTAGTTTTTAATATAAAGTATAATAAGCATAAATAGATTTAAATTCCTGATATAAATTTCTTATCTTTTTTATTAATTTATAGTATAAAGTATAATTAATAAAAATAGTTTAAAATTCTTGATATAAATTTTAATACATTTACATTAAATTTTAATTTATTATATTTGAAACAATAATGGATTAAAATAATGGTTAAAACTTTAATCTTTAAAAATAAAGCATTTTTGTAAAGCAAGTTTAGCTTACTATTACTTTTGGAAGTTAATTTTAAATTAAAATAATTCAGAGCAAAATTTCTGCTTACATAAACTTTTATAATAATTCGTCGATTTGATTTCATTTTAATAAGGAAAAATTAAGTAATTTTATTTTGATGCATTAGAAGCATTTATTTTGATGCAATTTAAAAAACTTGATTCAAGAATCAGAATAATTCCCGTGATATGATTTAGTGATGATTATAATGATTATTATATAATTTAACAAAACGAGTGAGCTTAAATCACTTTAAATGATAAAAGAAAAATAATTTTAATTGAGAGTCAAAATCTTCGTTTTCATTATTTTTAAAGCTTCTTGCTTTCTTTACAGTAATATTATCCGATCAATAAAAGTGTTTTACGGGGGACTTTCAGGGCAGAAAGGAAAAGCCTAATTACTTCCACACAAAAAAAAACTTGATGTGTGATTTGTCATCAAGCAAATTTAAGTTAACTCCGTCCGAAAAAGAATGAATAAAAGGAAGAAAAAAAAATCGCTTGAAATCCAACAACATCAAAACAACTATCCTCCGGTAAACGAAGTTTTCTACCCATTTTTATTTGTTTTCTGAAAATTATTGTTTCTTTTTCATTGACTACAATAACTCAAAATCTCTGATGCGTGAATAGAGAATTTTTCCTGTTTTACTGTATTTTGGGATCCCTAAGAAAGTTTTGAATTGGCTTCTTAAAAGAAAGGGGACATACAAAAATTTTAAGATTATTTTTCGTATATTTCAACTTCTGCACGGAGCAACAGAAATCATATATTAACTAATTTCTGAACTATAAGTATAAAAACAGTTCATATAAAGTTCAAATGATAAATAACTGCGAGCTCCTTAATTAAGATGGCAATATTGATTTTTTTTCTGAATGTTTTATACATAAGGCTCAAACTTATTAATATGTACTTAATAATTGGCGTAGTAAAAATATTGAAGTCATGCGTAGTACGTATCTATCATAAATATCAATCATCACATTCTATCTTATTTCGTTCTATTATTATTCGCTATTATTATGTTCGATTTTCAGTAAATACAACACAAAAGTCATCAAAAACAATTTTCGGACTTTTTCTAGGGGGGTGGAGGCGCAAAAGGGAAATAAACTTACACGTTGCTATCTAGACAAATGAGGTATTCTATATGAGGTAATTGATAGTATAGAAATTATAAGGGTTTTATATAAACGAAGTATTATGCAATTTTTTACGTTGTATTTACTACATACCTATTATGAAAAATTGAAGAGATAAACTGGAATTTGCATCTCTTATACAACCTACCAATGAAATCTATATATTCATTTAACGCTTGTGTTCTGTTCACAAAAAAACCTTCAACAATTGTGTTTTGTTACCAATAAAACTTTTGGTAATTTAACGCATAAAAATGCATTGTATTATACATTGTATTGCAATACAAATTAAATGAAACAAGATCAAATGTAAAAGCATTCAAATTATGGAGCAATCAGAAAATCTTTTTAAAAAAACTCAAGAAATCTATTAATTATTCATTAAATATGTCGAAAATCTATAATTCGAAAAAAAGTATTCTTAACTTAAAATCAATCAATGAGTAATAAAACCTATCAAGTAGTTTTAAAAGAAAGAGCATAAGCGAAAAATGCATCTAATTTAAAATTTTATACATCTAAGCATAAAAGTACATTTGAACGTTATTATTTTTCTCAGTTGCCAAACAATATTGGTAACGTAGATCAAAATTGGCAGATAATGGATTATTCAAAAAAATAAATAAATAAATAAATAAAAATCCCCATGAAGAGATTTTAAAAATTATGAAATTTTACTAATAAATATATTTTTTACTAATATTTTGACATATTCATAAAATTTAATTAAAACTTATGAAGAAATTACTCAGTTGGAAAATACTATAAAAGAACCTACTTGTTATAAGACATAAGAAATTTTTTAGAGAAGTCTATAAGTTGGAAATTTTTAATAAAAACTTTATTATTTTTTAAACAAAAGTGTATATTTAGTCCATATGAAATACTCGAACCTTATTATTTTCATCGTTTTATATAGATCAATGTAATAGGCCGCCTTCATTAGTTGGCCCTTTCGTCTCCTCCTCAACAAGTTCAGGACTAGGCGGCCTTAGTTTACAAGACAAATCTTTACTGGGCGTAACGGGGTCTTTATTGGACCCTTCAACCCTTTCACATCATTACCAACAAGGTACATTTTCAAATATTTTTTTTTTAAATTTTGGATCGGGATATTATTTTTTTTTTCTGGTATGGGTTCAGTATTGGTGCTGGTTCTAGATTTTTTTCGGTGGTGGTGTATAATAAAAATATTACTAAGGTGATGGTTTTGGTTATTTATTATTTACTATAAATGGTTACAATAATCAAAAGGTATTTACGCTTTTCAATTTATTTTTCGTATTTAATACTAAAAATTTTAAGGATTTTATCAAAACTCAATTTAGTTTATGTATTGTAAAAAATGTATTTAAGCGTATTTTTACTGTTTCATTATAATCATGTAAATAACATATGAAAAAAAGGAGAGAAGAATGGTTTATGTCCACTTTTTGGAAAAATGACGATTAGGTCACCATCTGTTTGTTACATTTAGATGATTACTAAGTTTTAACAAATTAATAACGTGGAAAATCGGTTCTCCCCAAGAGTTATTACACTTTGAGGATGGACTATACTGATTCCTGTCCTCGCGTTAACAAGCCGAACAAAGAAAAGGATAGTGAAGAAGACGACGTTAGCTCTACTGAGAATTTATTGATTTGAGAGAAATTTTGAGGAAAAATGGTCCATCCCCATTTCCAAATTTTATTTTTTCTCAGCAATCAAAAATTATATATTTTTTTATTTTAATTTTTTGGAGATGTAAATTAATATTTATGATATTTTATTCATGATTATATCATATGCTCTCAGCCGAAAACTAGATCCTGAGCAAACTCAAACTTTTAAAGTCGTTTTTTTTCTTTCATAGACATAGACCATTTTTTTCTTCATAAGAAAATATAAAAAAATAATTTTGTCGTCCACAGGTTTGCCATCAAGAAGTTAATAAAACACTTCATTGAAGTTTTATTTTGAATTCTGCGTTAACTTCTTCAAAATATAGCATTAGCTCTATTCAAATATTTTAAAACAACGAAATTTCTGCATGAGCTTATATGTAGAAAAATATACTATAAATATACTGTAAAAAAATATAATAAAATATACTATAATAAAATATACTATAATAAAATATACTACAATAAAATATACTGAAATAAAATATACTATAATAAAATATACTACAATAAAATATACTATAATAAAATATACTATAAAATAAACTTTAATATTTTGTACATACAACAGAGAACTTTTCCTATTTTTGCACTAACATTGTATTAACATTAATATAACATTGACTTTCGTTAAAAATCTTCTATCCTAATAATAATTAAGAGCATGGTTATTGCATGAATTAATTGCATGTCTTAAATAATATGTTGTTATAAGCATTCATTGTCATGTTGTACTTGTGCTTGCTTTATCAAGTAATTTACTACTAATTTGTTTTGTTATTGTGCTTTTTTATGTGCTATATTTAAAGTACATCATTTTTAATCTCAACACGAGTAAATAATGAACATATAATTTTACACCAGAAAAATTGGTCATTATTTATGTTATACATTGTTTCATCCTTTCACTATTGAGTGAATTTTTTTCAAAATTTCTTAAAAGTAAATTGCTAAAAAAATCTTTCTGAAAGCAAAATTTAAAAAAAATAGTGCATCAATATTATTGAAAGCAATAAAATTTATAGTATTTATTATAAAATCTATGTTACTATAAAATCTATCCTCAGTTCATACTGGAATAAAAGAAAAATAATCGAACTATTTTTTATTTTGATTATTTTTATTAGAAATAAAAAAATTATTAAGTTTTTTTAGAAACGAATAGCGCCGTTTTAAAGTCCAAAGTACGCCACAATTAATTAACACTCCAAAGTTTTTTTATATTCAATCATCTATCATTATTATTATTTTCCATAGCTTCATGATGCAGAGAAGCAGTTACGTTCAACCAGACCAAAAGTTCGGTGCAGTTGTCCCAATCTAAACAATTCAGGATAAAATTGCGGTAAAAAGTACAGTACTTTTTACCTTGATATCCATTTTTACCGGTACATAACACGGAACAAAATATTTGATATTTCGTAATTTTTACAATAATTCACTAAATGATTCACCATAATTACAATGATTCACCATGAAATCACTAAATCACTCGAATTAAATATATATTATTGCAAAAGTTATGTTACAATATTTTACGTCAAAATGAATTTTGAGGATGATGCGCACAAATTGCCGGTACTTGATATTCTAATTTGATCAGGAAATTTTTATAATGTTATTGTGGCGTTAGGGTTTCAAAGACGTGACGCAAGCTCGTTTCCGAAAAATTTTGAGGGGGAATAAAATTTTGGTTAATTTTTGTTGCTTCGGCAAGAACCGACAATTTTTGAGATAGATTTTATCGATACAAATGCTCTTCTTTTTTAAAAAATTTGAAAATTGAGCTAGCAAAACCTTTTAGATTCAATTTTTTTTTAATATTTCAAAGTTTTTTTCCTATAATTTATTAAATTTTATTTTCTTTATAGTTAAAAAGATTAGAATCTATATACAGTAAAAATAAATAAAAACGTCAATGAGATTTTTTTTTTAAATGAATTGCTCAAAAATAATTATTTGGTTTTAAATTAGAATTTTCATCATGTGATTAAAAGAAAGAAAAAAAAACCCGAAAAAATTATCCCCCCAAAAATTTTTTATTGATATGAATTTTCCAATTATCTTTAGATTAGCACAGCCTATAATAAATTTAAATATTTGCCTTTGCGTAACAAATTTTATTGCTGTGATTGGTTTCAAAATAACAGTCTAATTTTTTTAAGAAAAGATTTTTAAAATAATATATACTTATTTCTGAGTATTTCAGATCAAACACACCCAGTTTATTTAGTTTAGGTTTCACTCTCCCAAAATTTGTAAAAGTATTCTAATTTTTATTATTTGTTCATTAAATATTTTTTAATATTTAAAATATTTCTGATTTTTTCCTATTCAAATTATTATATTTTTCGGCAAATTAAACTAGTTCCAATCAGTGTTGAATATTTACAACGTTTTAAAAATAAAGCTTCTTATTTGCTTTTTTTTTTATTATCTAAATTCATTCTTTGTTATCAAAATGATGTACTTTGATTCATTTAATTGCATTAGCATGAACTGTGTTTGTAAATAATAAGTTGGATTAGAACGCATTTTATGAAGATAAAAAATTTTAATAGTGTGAATTATAATTTTAATAAATATTGCTATTAGAGCTATTGAAAATTGCCTTCCTTATTCATTCGACTGCATTTTAAATTTAAAGTTACTTCAATTTAATTAGATTTATGTTGTATTAATTGTTAATTATATCATAGCAATCACCAGATTTTCAGATATCACAAACTTTTATTGCTTAAATGATAAATACTATATATATACATATATATTACAATTATTAATAAAATTGAAAAATAAAATTTCTGATAATATTGAAATAAAAATGTATTCAACGTTTTTGAAAGCAGATTTTTGAATTTATGAAATTCATTTTCGATTGTTACACACAATAGGTCAGTTATGAATTTTGAGCTAAAACCAACTCTTTATTTTCATAACAGGAAAGGGAAAACAGTGAAACCTTTTCCTGATCAGCCATACGATGAAGAATATCTCGATTTAGAAACTAATTTTTGAATGAAAGTTTTATTCTTTTATTCAATGGAGAAAAAAATGAATGAGAAACGTAAACAAACCGAAAAAAAGGGGGTGTTCTAATCCAACTAGCTTTGATACCAATCCTTAATAATAGCTTATACCCTACCATTTATATGTTAATGAAATGCATGTTGCATGTGTTTGTGATGTCGCTTTTTCCCTTCTGCATGTTCCTTAGCAGTAGTGGGAGGTGAGGTGTGCAGCCGTTCCTCCACCCCAAGGAACGTCGAACACCAGCACGTGGTCTCCTCCTCTGAAGCTCCCTCCTCAACCCCCATGTCATCTTCCTGCCTCACACTCCTGCAACCTCTGCATGCCTCCGCCTCCTCTTTGGACCCTTATGCCTCAACTTTTTCCCCAACGCAATTCCAAGGTAAGCTTTGAAAGAACTCTTATAACCTTCTGCAAAAAAAGGAAAGAATTAAGATATTCTCTATCGATTAATTGTGCAAAACTTTTTATCGATTAAAATAAGGGTCGTAATTTAATAGTTTTATGGTCTCGATTCAAAATGTTTCATTTAAAGAAAATTTTTAACTTTTTTTTCTTTAAATAAAAATACTTTTGAGCAAGTAGCAAATTATTTTTCAGCAAACGATATTTTAAAAAATATCTTCTGATGTATTTATTTATGAATTGCTTCACTTTGTAAGCATTAAACACTTCGTTAAAATTCTATTTAAATGAAATTTTTATAAATTAAAATTAGTTTAAAAATATGTTTATGTTGCAAAGGTATAAAACATTTCCCTCCATTCAAGGAAATACGGATTAATCAATTTTCTTTTTTTTCTTTTTCAAATTCTGCAAATGACGAACGTTTTACTGTGAATAGTATTTTGTGGAAAAAATATCATTTACAGAAAATTATTTAGTGTTTACTTATGTATTGAAGTAAAAGAAAGTAATATTTTTTTGAATAAACCTGTTTTTAACAAAAAATCAAAGTCAATCTTCATTTCTGTTTTTTTCTTGCTGCTAGGTAGTGAAAAATTTCAAATAGTCTTTAGAACCTATACTTTATTGAATTTTTATTCAAATTTTTCAATCAAATATGTAATTAGGAAAGGTATATTACTTTTATATGTATTTTTAAAAACACTTAAAACACTTTTCCTTTAATAAACATCCTTATCAGCCCCTAAATTGGAGACTAAGCAGCAATATGACATTACTGTAAAAATATTAAATAATGTAATTAATCATAGATTTGAAATTTTAATAATTACTTTTAGTTGAAAAGCTTGATTAGAATATTTTATTCCACACCTTGCAAAATATATATATAGTTATTTTGTGAAAAAAAGATGGAAAAAAATTTTTTTTTCTTAATTTGTCGCACATTGGCACAGTTTCATAAAACTAATGAATGTTATGTTATACACAAACAGATAAACATTTAATTTACAATCCTTTTTACAGTCTAGAAGGGCAGAAGAAAATAAATAATGACATTTTTTTAAGCAAACTAATCAATCTTTTGTATGGATTTTTTTTTTTTTTTTTTAAATGGCTTTCAAGTAGAATTAAACACGAAACCTGTTTTCTTCTGATAAGTGTTAAAGATAAAGCCACGTCCTACATTAAACCATTCATAATAAGATTCTGCCGAGAAAGTATTTAAATCTGAGAGAGGTGCAAAAGCAGATCTTCTTCGCTTTGATTTCCAGGTCATGCCATCATCCTAACTTCATCCTATCTTCATCCGCAGGCGGATGTGTTTCAAGAAAATTGATGAATGTTGACGGATCACCGGAGGAATCTCGCCAAACTCGATACGGAATTCTAAACCATTTCATGCCAAGAAATTTAAGACGCTCGCCGAACATTTTCATTTCTTCTCTTTAGTTGCACGATGGAACGCCTCATTAACCTCGCAATTACGAAAAGGCCCGATAAACAGTTCAGGAAAATTTTACTACCAACACTTATATATATATACGCACACCTCCACAAAACTTTTATCAGTGTCGGAAGAAAAATTTACGTCATGTATTTAAAAAGGGTAAGGATTGGCGAAGATTCTTGGAAGAGTTTCATCTTTCGAATGGATCATCTTTCCGAGGATTGCCTTTCTTAAATGCTGCTTCAGAATCACTTGGTATTAATTTGGCGAGAGTTTATTTAGTTGAAAGATCTAATGGACCTTTGGCTTACGAAGCATGAAGCGATTTTTGAAACTTGGCGGAACTGGAATAGCGCACAAAAGAGTTAATTTTTATCGGCATTGCAACTTTGAGTCTTAAAATGCTTAACCACGGTAATTTGACTTTATAACTGAAACTTTTAATGCTTACGTACAGTTAAAAATAATGGATTCAGCGTCTTATGATGACTTCAACGCCTTTTACCGTTAGCTGTAAGAAATTGCTTCTTTAATAGAGTCCTGCTTCTGAAAGATTGAAAAGATTCTTTTTTGTTTTGGATCATAGACTAAATACCTGCAATAAAAATGTTTTATAGTTATTGCTTCATATTAAAAATCTTAATACAAAAGCATATCTTTTTTTTTTTTTACTAAATATAATGAGATTTTTTTTATTTTTACCATTTGTTTGAAAAACTTTTGCTTAGTTAAGCATAGAATGATTGGCTTAAAGTGAAAAAGCTTTTTATCTTTTCATGTCAGTGTTTTTTGTGGGCGTTTTCCAAGTGTTCATTTGAAGACAATCATAATTATTTATTTCGATGTAATTTAAAGTAATGTATGTAAGACGCATGTTACATATTAAGTATTTTGTTGTAGATTTTTTTCTAAATAGGCCTATATGGCTTACCTAGGCTTATTTAAAATATACTACAAAAAAACTGAAACTTTTAATGTGTTGATTTCTTCACACGGAAAGAAAATAACTATAACTTTGAATGCGTTTTAATTACTTATCAATTTCAAATTTTTGCTATTTAAAGATACTAGCACTATTTTACGTGTTCATTGAAAATGGTGAAGTATTTATCCTATCGATAAACTAGTATCAAAAAATATTTCTAATTTTTTTCTCGAAAATATAAAAAAAATTATAGCTTAGTAAATATAGCAATGCTAAGAAAAAAAGATTTATATTGCAGGGAGGTAAATATTCAAAAAACATTTGTACTAAAAGTTACTTAGGAAGTTAAAATAGTTTTGCTGCAACAAAAAGAGCTGCTACAAAATGCTCAAAAATTGTGTATATGTAAAGTAGAGCAGGAAAAACAAAATAAAAACGTCATCATCAACCTGGAGCTACAGCCCTTGCAGAGCTATAGCCTCCTTTTGGAAAACTATTTTCTCTTCGTCACCTTTTTTAAAATTTGGCAATTGTGGTAAAATTTCATAATTTTATCATGATACCTTAGAGTATGGTGGCATGAAAACCATTTATTCGGTAAAATGCACTTAGCAGTTTTGTATTTTTTTACTAAATCTATAGTAATAAGAATTATAGTTTTGAAAATCGGAATTCCTGGTAAACTAGTTACCATATAAACGGAAAAAAATTACCAAATATCGCTGGTTTTATTACCAAAATTATGTTGCTGTTTTTTTTTTTACCAGAAATATTAATAACATGCAATACGGTAATTTTACCATAGATTTTTCCTCCGTGTGGAGATGTAGGGTTGATGAATTATCAGAAGTAGTAAAATCAGAAAGTACGTAGTAAAATCAGAAGTATTAAATATTATCGGCAAGTCAACATACTTCATCAAGCAAACCACCATGCATAACATTTAGGTCTTATAGTCTATAGATCCTATGTATAATCAAGTCTTATATAGGTCAGATCTTAGGTGCCATATATAATCATAGGTCTTAAATATAATCATTTTTTTTCCTTTCTCTTTTTGTACTGTTTATCACACCCTTTTGACAGCTTGGTGACTTTCGCCAGCTTTGAAGTTGTGCTCAACCAGTATTTTAAGGTCCTATGCCCAACTGGACATTTAAAGGCAAAGAATAAATGCCCGATAGGAATCTTGGGACTACCCTGGCATGTCTCTTTATGTAATATTCGAGCCCTGTTAGCATTATTATTTTGCACTAGACATTTCATGAAGCATATATTATAAATAAGTGCTTATACACTTAACACTTAAATTAGAGGGAATCTACCACGCAAGCTCAAAAAAAGAGGCAGATTTGATTGGATGTTACGACTTTTTGTCTCCTCCAATAAGAAACAACAGTCACGTCGAAAGCTCCACAAATATTTCATTTCAGTGATGGCTCTTTTTCAAAGCCTTTAAAAACACAATGGGGCGCACGCTGCTAAAAAATTCACAAAATTACCATAGCGTGAAGGAAGAAAAAGTTAGAAGCAGAGGCAATAAGCAAATTAGAAAATAGCGAGGTGGTGGGGGGGGGGAATTTAGGCGACATGTTGGAAGATATAAGGAAAGAAAAGCTGAAGCCAGTTGAAGAAAAGAAGAAAAAGACTAGTATCTCCAAAGTACATCAAGCGAAAGTAAAAATTCTTGGAAATTAGTTTTCAAACTTCAACAAACATACATCCAAACAATAAGATCAACCGAATGGCAGTACAAAATTTTTTTTGCCTCTTTTAAGAAAGTTCTTTCCGACAAAGAATCATTGTTTCTAAAAGAAAGCATGATATTTTTTTTTCTGTACCCTCTTTTGCTCTAGTACAGTGTTTTCGGCTGCTTCCCCCTTTTTTTGTTTAATCGTCTTTTTCCGGAAAGAAATCAAGAAAAGGAATGCACTGCGGAAAAGTTCATTTCTTTCCTCCTTTTTTTTCGCCATCCCTCCCATTTCCTTCTGAAGTTGCTGTTTCTTTTTTTTTCTTTTTTCCTTCTTCTTCTATCCTTTACTCGAAGTCATTTCTCAAGAAGTTGCTTTTTGGTTTTAAGTGTCGGAGAGGAATTGTCTCTCCTTACGATGTGACGTCGCAAGCAGGCGGGGGAAATAGGGTTACCACCCGCGCACCACCACCCCCAAATCTGATGAGGACCGCATCGAAATTCGCCAAATTGCACCGCCAAAAAAGAAAGAAAAAAAGATGCAAATTTGATTAAAATGCGTCGTTTTTATAATACCATGGAAATATAAATGTTCTCCATACTACACATAATGATTTTTTTTCTTTATGTAGACATTGTCTTCGATCGAAATGAATTCCTGAATAAACTAAAGCCGCTAGTCACTCAAACTTAAAAATAGAACTAAATAGTATATATTGTAAGTCCCACATATATAACCAACAATAAATGTTTCCCACGTTGCACGTAATAGATTTAATGAAGGCGCTGTCTTTGATGGAAATGAATTCCTGAATATACTAAGGCAGCTAGTCAGTCAAACTTAAAAATAGAACTAAATAGTTTAGATTGTCAGTCCCACATATATAACCAACAATAAATGTTTTCCACGTT